AAAAGACGGCGAGGGTTTTCTTTTTTTCTCTTTCTTTCTTTACTTTTATCTTTATTGAACCGTATCTCCATAAAATTATTCGCTTGAATGGCTAATAATTTGATTTTTTCTCTTTCACAAATAATCTCATGATTTATCAACAAAATTTCATGCCGTGTTTTGGAACATTTGTATATACTTCTATATGCCTAAATTACGTGTAATTCACTTTTTTAACCAGCAAATATTTATTACCACAACTAAAATAAATTCATCAATTCTCCGATTATTGCATTAAATAAGGAATACTTAAATAAGAAATAATTAATATTTGTTAGTGTCAAATAGAAATTACTATAAATGACGAGTATTAAAATAATTTAATAATAAATACTTATAACTATCATAAATATTTTGAATAAAAATTACAATTTATTGCACTGAATATAATTGAATGTGATATAAATGAAATCTGTCTTTTTAAATCGAATAAATTTCAGAGTAAATGGCCATTTTAAGCGTGATTGACACTTAAATAAATGTGGATAAATTAAATCTTTATTTTATCAAAAAAAAAGTGAAAGCTTAACATTAATTAAGCAGATTTACTATAAAAAATTTAAAGCTGTATTAATCTTTTATTGTTAATCAAAACATTCAGTTAAATGGCGTGCAGCATCATATACATTTCAATATATTTTTTAATTTAGGCTATATGAGTTATTCTGACATAAATATATAAATTTATGAATATCAAATTCGTTATATCTATGGTAACTACAACATTATAAAAGTAAATAAAAGAATTTAATAAATGTTCTTAGTCGTACTAAATGGCAATTTGTGGATCCAGTTTCCAATTAGTATATTCTATAAAAATATATATTAAAAATATTATTATTACAATTATAACCTTAAAAATATATAATATTGATTAATAACTTCAAGAATTATATCTAAAGTTTTATAGCTATTAGACATAATTGCTGAAAATAAATGTTGATAGTAATTTTCTAGAACCGGATTTACGCCAGAAAACTTATCGGGTATACCATACAGCATTTTCATTTGCTTTCTCAGTTTTCAGTGATACTAAAGTAAGGTAAAACAAAATTCAACAAGAAATATTAAAATTGAAAACTTATAACTCTTTTGTTAACTGAATAGTCATTCGAGTAGTGGGACTAAAAAAAATTTTCAATTAAGAAACAAATGTATCTGCTCTTAATTATAGCATTCTACTCTTGAAAAGAAATTGAATAATACTTAAATCTATAATGAATTAATAAGTGTAAAATCATTTTTTAAATTGAGATGTGTCATGATAATATTAAATTTTTAATTTACTCAAAAATATTGAAAGATACTTTTAGAAAAATCCATTTGAATTATACTATAAGAAACTATTTATAAATAAATAAACCATTTATATAAGTATATTGATAGTGTATTGAGCTTTCTTAATTATATCTTAATATTTTAACGTTAATATTATCATCTACTTGACCACCGAGTTAAACATACACGTCACTTTAATTCAAACAGTCGTTCTAATCACAGGTAAATTTACATAAATTGCTAAGTAATACTTGTAAAGTAATCCATACCAAATGATATAATTCTTTAAAATTAAAAAGTATAATTAGACCAATTCACGTCTATCGATCCCAATGATGCTAATATAAATATTAATATAATTACTTACTTTTCAAAAATTAATTAGCTATTTTTACAAATATTTTAACATTTATATTTAACTTTTATCAATTTTACACTTCCAATTTACATGAAAGAAGAAAATTAAGATTACTTCTTTTTAGCTAGATTTACTGATTTAATGTATCTAATTGTTATTAATTTTAATTTTAATATAGTCAAGGTAAAGCAACATCGAAAGGTGAACATTTAATTGATCCAAATTACCAACTAAATATTTTAAGATTTTTCTATTTCGCTGTTGTCAAATAACCAAAATAGAAATTAAAGTATAATAGAAATACGTATATATTCGCATTATATATTAGAAGTCTGTGAATCGATTTCAAAACAAATGAATTTACTTTAGGGTATTATTTGAAGAGCAAAGTTGGAACGAATGCGGCAAGAGCGAATTGAACTCCAGCGTCCAAGTGATAAATAACACAAACTTGGAAAACAGAAAAACAAAGAGAAGAACACCGTTACGTAGTTAGACTTTACTGTATTATCTGTAAAATAATTCTCAAAGCCCTTGTGCAAACTTAAAAGATGCACCTACTGCAAAATGAGCGGAAAAATAAAGAAGAAATCAGATGAAAATAGGAAAAGAAAGGTAGGTAAACACGATAAAAATAAAAGGGATTGAGTAAGGGAATCTAATATAATAACACAAAAAACAAAAGAGAGCAAGAGCGTAGACAATCGCATGCTCAGGCAAAAATATCCCGATACAATAGCTAGGAAAACGTTGCCAGTATCTCAACCTCGACCTCCTCCAATAGGATATATATGGGTTCACGATATGTAATACATGACTGTATGCTTCTACAATATGCTCACTCACACTGACACACCAATCTGACCTCTATTTTACAATTCTAAACGGCATTGTACAGAAAATGAGCTCGGATTGTTACCCGATGGTGGCCAAGTTTCACTTGGACGATTAAATTCGAATTGGTCGAATAAGTTGATTTGACGCCTCATCGTTTAGCGAATCAAGAATTAATTTGTATTCGACTTAATTGAACGCCTGTTTATCATTTGTAATTACATTTCGACATTGAATATATCATTTTGAATCACTTTACACACTTATCGCTTCTTATCAGTTTTATAAATTGATACAGTGATATAAATCTGACTTTTATATACTCAGGTAAATCCTGCTTTATAAATGTTTATTATTTAATTTTTACAATGTTTTTCTCTTGCATATTCGTTAGATAAACCTCAAATCTTGAGTAAATACAGAAGAAGAGATTACAGAAGAAAAGATGCAGCCAGAATTTACTTTTATACGAAACATTATTAAAATTATGTATTGAATCATATTCAAACGAATGGATGAAAACGAAATTCTTCTTTTTGTAAATTAAATTTTGATTTTGAACACTTGTTGAAGTATTCGCAAAATTTACCTAGAAAATTAATAATTAAAAAATATTAAGAATTATATTTAAAATTTGTAGTTTCTTCTTAATGTTGCGATAGTGTACTTAATAAATACAAAACTTAAATATATGAAAGATTCTAAAGTGAATTACAAATTTTTTACTCAATTTATACAATGCACACTCTTCAAGTAAGTTTAATTTTGTATCTATTATCATAATTCATAATTATTCCTATAATACTGAATAAATAATTCTATTGGTTGATAAATAACGACGTGCCAATTCATTCAATACGCAAATGAAGTTATATACCTTGAGTGGTTCAATAATTGCATTTTAGAAATTCTGCATCGGCTGCAGTAACAATGTTCTTTATAAAAAAAAATAAATAAATAGAAATGTAACTGAATTGAATACAATAAATTAGTTTTCTATTAAAGTCAAAGGGTTGATAATCAGGGGGCTTATATTTAATACAGCGAATTGAACAATAGAAACGAATGGAAATCTTGTGAATTTGTAATAAAAATAAAAAATGATACATAATTTAGTTATTAAATATTATTTATTTACTTCCGAAATTTGAACAAATTAATTGCAACACTAATAAATATACCTAGAAGTAGTAATAAATCAATATATGTAGAGGAAAATATACTATATTATTGTATTTAACTTAACTATAACACGACGACAATATAACTTTAATAATATTTTTTAAACTTTTTAAGTAATATGTACTTAATTATGTACTTCATATGTACTAATATGTTTTTAATTACTAAACTTACCTTTCTAATAAATTTTCGTATTTTCCATTAAATTATTTCATGCCTTTATTATACACAATTAAAAATTATGAGGTCGTAATCAGAATATAATTTCGTATATTATAAAATTTAAAAGGCATTTCAAAGATGAATAGCTATTTAATTTTATTTTCATATTGTAGCAAGCTTATTCTGTTTTCTCACTTCAGCTTGGTAATTTATGAAAGATCTTAAAAAGCAAATATTGTCATGTTCTGTTGAACATTCCCAATTAACGTTAAAATGCAATACTTTCTAATTTAACAGTTATTTAATAAAATAATAGCACTGATTTTAATCATCAACTTATAATATTTCCCTTTTAAAGTTCTAATTATAGATATTCAATTAAGTAGAAAAATTATATAAACTGGAAAATTATCAATTATATAATTACACAATAACACTTTTTTTTAATCAAGATAAATTGAATAGATACGACATCTTATAGAATAAAACAGAAAGGCAAAAATATGTATAAATATATATATATATATATATGTGCACACACGCTTTTCTGTATAGATACATATCGATAAAACAGATTCCAACTTAGTCGACTTGTATTTCAAGTTATTTACTATTGTGTATTACAAAAATATTTTATTACAACTATGTTATAGAAACTTGTAGAATTTTTCTAATACATTTTTCGAATTCATTCTATTTAAAAACTTGCTGTTCTGTATGAAAATAGTGAGTGACTTTTGACAATTGGATGTGTAAAAATATATTCTTAATTTAAAATATTTATACTAAATTAAATTACTAGTTTTTTCTTACAATCTTATTTGCCAAATAATCTTTCAATATTTTTATAGATTAATAATTCTATTATACTGATGAGCATCCAAAATATTTTACGTTTTATATAAAAAGTTTATTTATTAATAAATTATTGCACATTTTGAATATATAAAACAATTGTTATATACATAATAAAAAAGATCTGCTGCCTATTTTTATCTTCAATAAAAACTTTCATTATACTTTTTAGCTTAAATGAGTAAAACAGTATAATTAATTTACTATATACAATTATAATTAACTTATCATAATAAAAATATTTCATAATGGAAAGGCCAAATTAAACAACTGCATATTCTATAAGGCTTACCTTGTAAGTTGTCCAGCATATATGACAGCAGCTTGTGGGTCCCTGAAGGTTCTCCGTACAATGCCATAACCTCCTTGCTGAGTGGATTGCCTTGAAGTCCTAGGACTTGTAACTGGAATAACTTTCCTAACTCATATGGTAAAACGCGAAGGAAATTTTGGTTTAACAATAACTCCCTGGAATAGGAAACAAAAATGATATAATGAATTTTATTGGTTTCTTGTACAAACTGTCTTATAATTTCTAATTACGTATTCTTCTAATGAGCTTATTAAATATAATTGTATATGACCAAATTTAGAAGACTAATTTTGTTATTTATATTATTCTTTATATTTCATAATTTTCAAATTTAATTTTAAATTACAGATTAAAGAAAAAAAGAAATAAATTAATTGTCTAGAGTGAAATTATTTATTAAAATTAATGTCAATATACAGGTTAATAAGAAATTTTAAATGGATATTTTTTAGTCTATTAGAATTAACCAACCTTTACTGTAAATTTAATTTCCAATCCATATAAACTTTAATGAAAGCAATTATTATTGTTATTGGAAAATTATATTACATTCTGTAATGACTAAAATGGAAGTCAAAATATGTTTTAAACATTATTGAAAAGTTTTTTAGATTATAGTATTAGAAATTAATGAAATTCACTTGTAGTAGACATAAACTTCTTTATTCACTAACTAATAAACAAAATTTACAAATTACCTGAGATAGATGAGGTCTCCCAGTTCTGCAGGCAGACTGCGAAGTTTGTTGCTACTAAGGTCAAGCGCTCTCAAATTGGCTAAGCGACCTATCTCAGCTGGTATCCTTTGTAAATTGTTGTCATTGAGATACAAAGCTGTGAGATGGGTTAACTGCCACAAGTTTGGACTTAAATTTCTTATGCTGCCTGTTATCTCCAACTCCGGCCAATAAGATTTCTTCCCAGAGTTTGCGTCTTCGGTGGACATGATAGTGTGCGTACGACGCAGGTTGATAGCTTCATACTTGTCCTTATGATTTCGGGACATCCTAAATCCTTTAAAAAAGAGAGAAAATAATCATTATAAATCATATAAAATTTGCTTACAAGCTAACTGAATTTTTTGTTTAAAATAATTAAAACAAACTTTGTAAACTTACCGACAGTGTTGATTATCTTTATAATAAAACTTAGAAGTGATATCAATTGTATATTATATTATAAAGTTCTACTTAAAGTTCAGTTAAGTTAATTTAAAGCTGTATTTACAGTAATTACAAGTAGCATTGATGATTAAATGTTGATTTACATACAGATATATTCACTTTTCATAACTATAAATGGCAAATCTAACCTATGTAGATAATGATGGAATGGTTAGGATGGATAATATGACGGATGATAATAACAGGATCAAGGATAAGTCGTAGGCGAGCAGACTCTTGTAGTGCGAAGCATTTGATGTACAGTGACATCACCGAAGGTGCCATGTTAGGACAGGGATCCAATAAATCCACATATCACTCTTAAGAACACTTTTGCGTGGTGTTTGGGATATCGATGCTGACCAAGGAAAGGACAAGACCTTAAAATTAATGATCATAGATGAATCGACCCATTGAATCATATTGAATCTACCTTTGACTATAATAAATGCGTTAATTACTAGTTTTCAGATCAATGAACCTCTTTTGCCTTTGTCAACAAAACAATGGCTCAAAACGATACTACATGCGATGGTGTTCTGAGATACGAAAGTCTAACGAGGCGTTCAACGAATTTGAACCAAGAGGCCATAACATAACAAAGTAAAAGAACAGCGCGATTCACCGAAGCAACGAATTAGCATCGAGCAATTATCGGTCACCCATCCGAGACCCCCATATCTGTTAAACCCGTAGAAGCGCGACGAAGACGCTCCGCGACTCAATTCGCATAACCTAACCATGCACTTAACCGTTAAACAATGCCTGGGTCCTCGTGAGGTTCGCCAAAGCGTCCGAAATCCCCGAGCTCAGCGAGGACATCGACGCGCAACGACGCATCTAAGTCCGAGCGTTTATAACGAAGCCCCGCGCAACTGGAACTCCGAGCATCGACAGCTGCAAAAGAGGTTCTCCATTCCCGGGCACCGCTCGATTTCGTCTCGAGTGTACGGTCGCCCGGAAGCATTGAGTCCCAGCAGTTCCACCCCGGGCCGAAGGCTTCGTCGATCCTGGCCCGCGAGGCTGCTCGCAGGGACACTTGGCGCCGGCAACGGTAGATGTACGTATACACGCGCGCTACTACCTGGATTAGCGAGCTACGAACCTTCATCTACCTCTCGACGAGAGCACGTCCGTACACGTCCTAGAGGATTGGCCGTCGGCTTAGCTGTTCGTTTCCTTGGCGCTCGCACTTCAGCACTTCTTCCCCAACTCGCGAACTTCCAACGTCTTATCGCGTAAACAAAACTACCCTGACAAACACACGACTACTCCATTTATCACGACTGGCCCCTCGCACCGTCCGCGCTACGAACTACAATTATTATATACGTACCTAAGCGCGCGTGTGTCGGTGCGCGCGCGCTTGCCTCCACGTACGTCCGCGCGCATGTGTGCACGCGAGTGCGTACATATTAGACCGTGATAGTCGAGCGCTATTGGCCGCTGAGAAGCAGAGCTCTGCCAAGAAGCAGCCGACGTCCTAACGAGAGCGCTG